GGGGGAGTTCTGAGTGTCTGAGTTGCTCAGTTAAGTTGAGGACCTAACTCACACTGTTCATCTGTGGGACGTATACACAGGAACCTCCACCAGTGTGATTGTGCAGTCATACACTGTGTATGTAAAAGACATGTTTTGTGGAGTTACTTCGGCTTGCTGTGTGAGAGGACCAGTGAAGGCAACTCCATGCAGTGAATGCTTTTTTGGGTATTCCTTTTACCACCTGAAGCTCTGCAATACAAAAAACTGCTGGGGCAGAAGATGTTGGGGCTGCCATCTTGGGTGCACTCAATAAAACATCATGCTAGGGCCAGTTTTAGACAGGAGCCAATTGACCTACCAACATGTCTTTGGAGTGCGGGAGGAAATCACAGGGAGAAGATGCAAAGTCAATGCAGAGAGGTGCAGCGGTGGGGGGTGCTGAGTGCCCGAGTTGCCCAGGTAAGTTGAGGACTTTACTCACACTGTTCTTCTGTGGGACGTATACACAGGAACCCTTGCCAGTGCAGTCATACACCGTGTATGAAGACAGGTATTGTGGAGCTCCTTCAGCCTGTAGGTAGGTGCAGTATGGCCAATGGCCACTAGATGCCCCCATGGGGCCCTAGAGATAGATGCAGCTCTGGCCTGGGGAGACTCTGTGTCCCAGGAGAGTTGATTTATAGGGGGCGCCCGAGAGGTGAAGGGTCTGTTCTGTTCAGAGGAGTACAGGAGAAGTCTAAGACTGTATGCAGAGTCACCGGAGAGAGACTGATTCTTGAACATAGGCTGGTCCATGGGAAGGAAAGGACCAGGCCTAGGACTATGTAGAGCTACAAAGATTCCCTAGTTTCCCCATAGGGGGAAACCCACCGAGCTAGGACTGACAAGGATGGGATTCCTGAGAATATGGAGGAGCTGTAGTACTGACGATATTTGCCAGTGGGCCTCTGGCCGACGTAAGTCGTGGACTCTGGGCTGCACCTGGGCTGATGTACCTCTCTCTCTCTAAATTATAACCCTATGCAACCATCAAGAACTGTGCCGTCATCCCACCCGGGGGTGGCTGATCGCATACTTTGTTCTCTTTATACCTTCAAGTAAAACCAACAAAAAGACTATCTGTGTGGACTGGTTCTTCTCCCTCCAACCTCTGAGAAGGTGGGGTTCTATAGGAGTGTGATGTTGGACTGTATCGTGGCTGTAACCATCTGAGGAGGGTAGGTGCGCAATGGGGCTATGCCTGACATAGGGTGCCATTCATGGTGGGCTTTCTCCCTAAGGGGGAGGAAGCGTCGAAGACCGCAGAGGCGGTTGAAGCCATGAGGCCCTGTGTACGCAGCACTACACATGTGGGAGTGTTTGCACGAGGCCAAGGCCGTGGCCCCTGACCGTGGGGTGTCTGGTTTCGTGTTGCATGCACGGGGTTACCCAGCCAACTCAAAGGGAACACACACGCAACCCCCCAAGAGTGGACCCCGCCTACAAGCCTGCTGTGAGAGATGACTTTTTGGGGTATTCCTTTTACCACCTTAAGTTCTACAATACAGCTTACAAAAGGTTGCTGGGGCAGAAAATGTTGGGGCTGCCATCTTGGGTGCACTCAGCAGAACATCATATTAGGGCCAGTTCTAGACGGGAGCCAATTAACCTACCAGCATGTCTTTAGACTGTAGGGGGAAACTCACACAAGAAGAGGAAGAACCCATGCCAACTCCATGCAGATCAGGGCTTGAACCAGTGGCGGAACTACCGCCGGTGCAGGCGGTGCGGACGCACCAGGGCCTTGGAGAACGATAACCCCAGTGCTGCTAGGCCACTGCCACTGTTTTGTACACCAACAAATGGTCGCTGGCTAAAAATGAGAATACATCGGCACAGCCTTAGCTGACAGTTACATACTATTGTGGCCTAGTCTGGGGGCAGGAGGGGACACAGTATCTGGCTTGTACCAGCGTTTTCATTAGGGTGCCTTTAACTTGAAGCAGAGATGCTGGATCTGGACCACTCTGGGTTTTAGTGCACACACATCAGAAAATGAGGAAATAACGCAACCAGCCCTTTGATTCTGATTGGCTGGAGTCTAGTGATGAAGGCCGGAGATGGACAAAAGAGAAACATGTGCTAAATGCTGTGGGAGAGATTTACCATTACTTCCTGTCCTGACAGAATGCAGGACAAATGGGCCCTAAATAGGGACACAGACAGTCATAAAAACCTGAAAGGCCCTAAACTTTCCCCACTTCACCCAAAATTGAATAATTACTTTTGTTCAGCCGTTTCCTATATAGGGTGATGCTACAGAAAATACCTTTTTCCTGCTGAAGAACCAATATTGACAAACGTCAGAGAATATAATTTTCACCGGGCTAATGTTGGGTGAATGACCACTTATTTGGCTTGATATTGTACATAAGGTGAATCTTACCCATATAATATTGGTTTAATGTTGTGGTGAATTGCCCGTGGAACCCACGATAAATATACCCCTAAGCCCCAATTTGGCTATATTTGTGATCTAGCCATGCCCACCACTCACTATGCTGCACTAAGAGCACCTCAGTGTTCCCATGAGTGTCCCATGTTTTTTACAATCCTAGCAATGCCCATGACCGGTGTTATACTTAGGGCTGTAGCTACCATGAGGCAAGTGAGGCACTTGCCTCAGGCGCAGCTGAGAGGGTGGCGCAGCCAGGGACGGCCTAACTGCTCCCCCTCGCCCCTGTTGCCATGGCGAGGATGGGGGGCCATGGCAACAGGGGCACCAGGTGGCCAACACAGCCGTGGCTCGGCAGGGTGAAGAGGGGTGGCACAGGCTACAGCTTCTGCTCAGATCCCCGCTGATCTCCCTCACCTGTATGGGCAGAGGCAGTGGGGATCTGATGAGAAACAGAGCGCTGCAGCCATCAGGGGCAGGTGCAGAGGAGGGAGCTGTCATCCAAGATGGCCGAGCGGTGAGGAGAGAGCCGCTTGGCCAGGATCTGACAGCCGGCGGCTCTCTCTCCTCCCTCAACTTCCTGAATGACCTCTGCTCACCCTGTGGGATCCAAATGGGATCCTACTTTTACAGCAGTGCTGAGTTATGAAGTGAACCCCCCGCCTGTAATGTATGTGGCCTAACATGGGAGTAGTATAATTTCATATTGGGTCCAAGCCTACTAAGGATGTCAAATACTCAGAGGTATACCTACAAAAATGTTCTCCCCTGGTGACAAGCCCAGAGAAGGGGTATAACTAGAAATCAGGGGGCACCATACAACATTTTTCTATGGGGCCCTGTGATTTCTAGTTACACCCCTGAGTAGGATATTATAATTATTACAATTATTATTAATGGGTTTGCTTTTAGAAGTCATCTACATAGATAGCTTTGCAATTTTTGTAAATCAATTTTAATCCAAATGAAAATACCTCAAATAACATTTCAGAAAACCGAAATGACAACTTTCAACTTCTGAAAAACTTTTCTCACAGTTTGCCGGATTTCCTTTGTTCTTAAAAAATAAACGAAGGGACTTCCCACATGGGGGGCGATGGAGTAAAGGAACAGAAGCACCGCGTTGACATCGGCCTTGATGACGATTACTGGAATGTTAGTGACGATGTAGACGAAGATTCGAAGGACGTAATACAAGGCAACGAGGAAGAGGTGGGTGCCGCAGGTGTAGAATGCTTTCTGCCAGTTGGCGGAACTTTTCGACCTGGCGATCACCGTTATGATCATGATGTAAGAGAACAGAATTAAAGATAGAGGAACCAACAACACAACCATGGCACTTATAAAGGCGACCTGTTTCATGTGGGCTGCGTCACCACACGACAGAGCTGCGATTGCCGCATGGCTGCAGTACAAAGTGTTTATCTTGTTGTTGACCTCACAGAGGGCTATTTTGAAAGCCTCGATAGCATGAAAGATTTTGGTAGAAGGTGCCAAGAATACCCAGCAGAACCCACACGCAATGATGACTGTCCTGTTGTTGATAATTGCGCCGTACCTCAGGGGTTGAGAAATGGCGACATAACGATCTATGGCCATCAGGAGGAGAAGGAAGGAATCGAGGCTGCCGAGATGATGGATCCAGAACATCTGGAAGACGCAGACCTTAAACGCTATGGTAGAAGATCCAAACCAATAGCGAGCGATCAGTTTGGGCAAAGTGATTGTGTCAAAGAGGACATCGGAGGCGGCGAGGTTGGCTATGAGCAGATACATGGGTTGGTGTAAGCGCGGGTTGAGTGTGACCAAACCTATGACGCTACCATTGGCCGCCAGGGATGTCATATAGATGAGGAACATCATAGCGGATACCAAGCCGTGCAAATGCTGAGGAAGCCCAGGAAACCCGACAAGTATTACTTCAAATGAATCTGATTGGTTGGTCATAATCTGGGAAAATTATAGAAACGAAATGTGTGTTATTGACAGAAATTAAGAGACAATCATTCTATTGATGAGTTAACGTGCAGTATTTCCTAAACCTTTATGTTATATGGGTTAGCCAAGTCAACGATATAATGCACATGGAGGAGCTATTGGCGACTGACACTAATACCTTCCCTAAATTGATGTCCCTTTGGAGTGTGTGGATTCACTTCTCTTCCTCCACCGGCCTCCAGGCCTTCCTCTAAAACGCTACCCTGGCTGACTACATGGAGACTCGGCTCAGGGCGTACACACTCGGTCCATGTGAAGTACCTCCACCCCACCCCTCTCCCCCTTCTCTCTCCCCCTTCTCTCTCCCAACCTACCCTCCTTTCCCTGCTCTTCTCTATCTGTCTTCCTCTCTATACGTACTCTTCCTGACACAACTGTTCGTTTGGAGAAGGTATTAAGAGGTGTTGGCAAGAATCACGCTAGATTACCAAGTCTATAAGGCGAGAAGGTTAACCCTTTTGATATACGCTCCCTACACACCATGTATGCGCCTTAGCGTTTTGTGACATGTAAGCTGATAAAAGACGATATGCATACCGGCGTTGGGTTGCCAATGCCGACCCAACAATGTTATACTCTTGACCCCATATCTTACGATGTCATGTATCACAATGATTGAGTACTGTTATGGACCGTTTGAAAACTGTTGGAAAAACTAATAAAAAACTGATTCAACACTAAACCTTTATGTTAAAGTGACATTGAAGGATACATTTTTTCCCCTCCCCCCAATAGACTTGTGCGCCGTCAAAAAATTCGTTCCGTTTCGTAATATCCGTTATTTCGTATTTCGTAATTCGTATCCGAAACTCAATTCGGATTTGTACGAAATACGGATTTTCGTTAGTTTCGGCACATTTTCGTAACTTTACGAACATTCGTTATGATGAAGTTAAAAAGCAAAAATACCTTTGTTAATATTGGAGTCGATGTGGTAGTTGTTTTTTTATCCGAAATACGAATTCCGTTAACGGATTCCGGATTCGAATTTCGTATTTCAGATAAAAAAAAACTACCATCAACTCCAATATAAATGTATTTTGCTTTTTAACTTCAATATAACGAATGTTCGTAACGGAACGAAAATACGTCAACGGAATTTCGTATTTCCTGCCTGTGTATTGTAATGGAACTCTCAGCAGCAGCGGATCCGTATTTCGGATTAAAAAAAAAATCTTGTCATGTTATTCAACCTCATTTACAGGGGTAATATTAGTTCCCGTTTCAAAGAAATTCGGATCCGAAATTCGTTAACGGAATTTCGTATTTCGGATATAATTCGGAAACTGCCATTCGGATTTTGGATGCTTCCGAATTTACGAATTTCAGGAAAATTCGTACGAATTTCGACTCGTAACGAAACGAATCGCACATGTCTACCCCCCAATGTTAATGTCAGCACTTACCTTAAATGATGTCTCTTAATCCGATCTTCTTCTTCTTTCCTGTAGTTTTCAGCCTTCTCTCCAGCGCTGCGGCGGGTCTCCGATCCAGCGCTGACTCCTCTGTGCTTGCTGGCACTTCCTGTCCCGCGGTGTCTGCATGCGGGTGCACGCTGCTCCATAGACTTACCTTGTGTCTCTCCTCGCGTCCCGGGCCGAAAATCTGAACTGCGCATGCGCCCGCCCCAAGATGCTTTGCGGCCGCCCGAGACATTTTCGGGCGGAGGCGGGCGGCAAAGACAGGGGTAAGTTTAAACAGCTTTTAAAGCATTTTGTTTTTCAACTTTTTGCATATATCTACTGCTTGCTAGTCTTATATATGTGCGAAAAAAACCGGAGGCTTTAATTACCCTTTAAGGGCCGGTGCACACCTAGGCGATTGATCACGCGATTTGAGTCTTGCGATGACGCACAAAACACAGATTCGCATTGAAGTCAATGGAGGCTGCTCGCACCTTTGTGCTTTGTAGCGCGACCGAAATCGCCTGTCGCACGAAAAGGTGCTGGAGTTTTTTTCGGGCGGTTTGGTTTCGGGCGATTTGGGTCCCATAGACATCTCTATTCATTGAAAAACACGCGACAATCGCGCGGTTTACAATGAACAGTCAAGCAAAACAAATGGCAAACGCACTCATCAATTTGTTACCAGCTTTAGACGTGTATCTAAGACCTCTGTTTTTAACCTTAGCGGTGAGACAAGTTTTTGAACAGTCGCACGATTAAAAAACGCGCGACCAATCGCACGAAAACAGCTTGGCATCTGAGTCGCCTAGGTGTGAACCGAGCCTGAAGATAACAAAATGCAATCTTAGCTTTCCAAACAACACTTGATGGGCTATAAACATGATGATCTATTGTAAATGGACCCTGTCACCTTGCCCCTTCTCCCAGTTACACTCGTCTTCAAAGGAATCCACCTCTGTTCCTTTCCCCTGCCAAAGATAGTGCAAAATACATACCATGAATGAATTGGTGTCATGGCCCTGCCCCCCCCCCCCCTGCGCCGCCC